GCTCCCGGGCAACAGTGTGGGGAATGGACACGGGCAGTGGTGGTCTGGTGGCCAGTGAGGCCACTCCAGGATTGATGGTGGCTGGGACCAGGGTGGTTGGGGTTCGAGGTGAGCAGAGGTCAGGTTCTGCATGTTATTGAAGATTGGATGTGAGTTGTGAGGAGAAGAGGAGCAAAGATGAGCTGCAGGCAGGATGGGGTTGCCATTCATGCGTCTAGGAAACACTTGCCAGGCACCCCCTGTGTGCACAGCTCTGCGCTGGGGCTGGGGCAGTGAGCCGCACCGCTCCTTACGGGAGCCGATGGCCTGTGGGTCAGGTTATTGCCTTGAGCTCGACATGGAAAGACGGTGGGGGCATTAGACGGAAGACAGTTCCCTGGGAGGCAGGACTGCCCCCTTGCCACAAATGGGACATTGAGGCTCATGGAGCCCTGTGGCCGCCGCAGAAGCAGCCGTTCTGCGTGCCCATGACCGCCCTTTCCCTGAGGGGGCTCTTCTCCTGGGGGGCCTGGGCCCCGTCTGATGGCCGCCTGGGGAACCGGGTTGGGAAGCAGGTCTGTCAGGGTCTGATGGCCTTCTCCCAACCCCGTCATCTCTCCTGGCAGCGGCTGATTGACAAGACCAAGGTGACATACCTGAAGTGGCTGCCTGAGTCGGAGAGCCTGTTTCTGGCATCACACGCCAGCGGCCACCTGTACCTGTACAATGTCAGCCACCCGTGTGCGTCGGCACCTCCCCAGTACAGCCTGCTGAAGCAGGGGGAGGGCTTCGCCGTCTACGCTGCCAAGAGCAAGGCACCCCGCAACCCGCTGGCCAAGTGGGCGGTGGGCGAGGGGCCCCTCAATGAGTTTGCCTTCTCGCCCGACGGCCGGCACCTGGCCTGTGTCAGCCAAGACGGCTGCCTGCGCGTCTTTCACTTTGACTCCATGCTCCTGCGGGGGCTCATGAAGAGCTACTTCGGGGGCTTACTCTGCGTGTGCTGGAGCCCCGATGGGCGCTATGTTGTGACGGGTGGTGAGGATGACCTGGTCACCGTGTGGTCCTTCACCGAGGGCCGCGTGGTGGCCCGTGGCCATGGCCACAAGTCTTGGGTCAATGCTGTGGCCTTCGACCCCTACACCACAAGGGCCGAGGAGGCGGCAGCCAGTGGTGATGCGGAACGGAGCGTCGAGGAGGAGGAGGAGCCCGAGGTGGCCGGCCCAGGCTCGAATGGGGGAGACCCGCTCTCCCCAATGCCCAAGGCCGGCTCCATCACTTACCGCTTCGGCTCGGCCGGCCAGGACACGCAGTTTTGCCTGTGGGACCTCACCGAAGACGTGCTTTACCCACACCCACCCCTGGCCCGCACCCGCACGCTCCCCGGCACGCCTAGCACCACACCGCCTGCTGCCAGCAGCTCTCGGGGTGGCGAGCCCGGCCCCGGGTCCCTGCCCCGCTCACTGTCCCGCTCCAACAGCCTCCCACACCCAGCGGGCAGTGGCAAGGCGGGTGGCCCAGGCACAGGGACGGAGCCGGGCACTCCGTTTAGCATCGGCCGCTTTGCCACGCTCACGCTGCAGGAACGGAGGGACCGGGGGGCGGAGAAAGAGCACAAGCGCTACCACAGCCTGGGCAACATCAGCCTGGGGGGCGGGGGGGGCAGCAGCGGGGACAAGCCCAGCGGGCCTGTTCCCCACAGCCGCCTGGACCCGGCCAAGGTGCTGGGGACGGCGTTGTGCCCACGCATCCACGAGGTGCCCCTGCTCAAGCCCCTGTTGTGCAAGAAGATTGCCCAGGAGCGGCTGACGGTTCTCCTGTTCCTGGAGGACTGCATCATCACCGCCTGCCAGGAGGGCCTCATCTGCACCTGGGCCCGGCCGGGCAAGGCGGTGAGTCCGGCCTACCGGGGACCTGGGACTCGGGGAGGCAGGTTTGGGGAGAGCAGTTTGTCACGATCACAGCCTCTAGCCCATAGGGTGAGGGGCAGCCCTGCCACATCTCACGGTAGGTCTAGAACACTTGGCAGCCGTCCGCACGGCCAGGTAGGAGAGCGGGGTGTTAGGGACCATGGCTGGCTACCAGAGGGCAGCCCCTGGGCCCAGCACAGCCAGGTCTTGCCACTTGTTCCTTGAAGCCGGATCCGTATTCCTGTGGAAAACGTGATTTTTAAATGATGAAACTGGATACTGCGGGTCAAGTTCTGTGGGCAAGACTGAGCCTTGAGCTCGCCCTCCAGCCTGGCCCTGGCGTAGGAGCCCAGTGCTGGAGGCACAGGCGGGATTACCAGGTTCGGGTCCAGTTCTGCACGTCTTCCTGTGTGACTTCGGCCAAGTCCCTGCCCCTCTAACCTCTTAGGACGGGGAGGCTTGAAGACGGGCAGTAGGCGGTTGATGTGCCCGTCCTGGGGTGGCCATGGGGCTCGGGGTGGAGCACAGGCTGTGGACTCTGATGTCTCTGCTGCTCGGGTCTGGGCTTGGCACCCAGCATGTCACATCTGAGGGCCGTGGCTTGGTTCCTTGGGAGGTTTTGGGATTATAGCGCCCTGCATCCCTAGAACTGAGAGCCTCATAGGTGAGGTGTTGGGATTTGGGGAGTCCTTTGAGTCCTGAAAGAGACCCCTCTACCTCCCTAGTTCACAGACGAGCCCGAGGCCCAGACAGGGGAAGGAAGTTGGCCCAGGTCACCCAGCAAGTCAGTGGTAGAGGTAGGACTGTCCCTGAGTTCTTTCCCCCCCAGAATCTCAGGCACCCCCCCCCAGAAGGGGACCCCACTTTTCCCCTCTTCCCCACCTCCACCCCTACCCCATCCTCTGCTCAGGATCACCTGAGGACTTCAATTATTGCCTAAAAGTGCTGCCTGCTGGGATGGGGAAGCTAGTTGAGATGGAAGTTCCAGAACCTAGAGCCGCATCCTGGGTGGGGGGTGTGCGGTGGACAAGGGCAAGGCCAGGTGGTGGGACCTCAGATGTTCTCTAACCCCTGCTGTCTCCCCTCCTCTTCCCAGGGCATCTCCTCCCAACCAGGCAACTCCCCGAGCGGCACAGTGGTGTGAGGCCCTGGATGCTGGGCTCCCTGCCCCGCCTCGCCTCCCAGCCGTCACCCTTCCGCTGACCTCATGGATCAACCTGTTAACAAGACTAACCATGACGGATGGACTGCTCTGGTCCCCCGCCCTGCACAATCTGGGGGGCAGAGAGTCCCCCCAGACTGGCCTAGACCCTGGGGGGATGTAGTGGCTCATGTGGCCTCAGCCTTGTCCCCACCCACTGCCAAGTACAATGACCCCTTCCGCTGAAACATCAGTGTTAGCCTCATCCCTGTCCCCAGCATGTGACTGGTCCTGGGGCGGGGGAGGGAGAAGCTCCCCACCCACGAGCGCAGCTCCGCAGTGTGCCCCTCAGTCTGCGGACCCAAACCCCGTCTCCCCTGCTGGTGTTCGTGCTTTTGAAAAGTGTTAAGTTATGGGAGCCCCTTGGGGCCCTTCTGTCCCCAGCACCTCTTATTTATACTAAAGTTCCCTGTTTTCACAGCGTCTGATCCCTTCCTCGGGGTGTGGCGGGAGTGTGTGTGCTTTCACTGCGTGTCCGCTTTTTGTTTTAAGATAAAGTTTATTTAGAAAGTTACAGAGCCCTGCCCAGGTGGCTCGCTTGGTTGAGCATCCAGTGCACTGAAAGGTTGCTGGTCTGAGCCGGGTCAGGGCCTGGGGTGGGGGAGATGGAGCACACAGCAGCAGATCAGTGTTTCTCTCCCTCTCTAAGCTTGTGCTCCAGTGAAGGTTAGAAAAGAAAAAAAAGGAGTAGTAGAACCGAGCGAGCCACCTGGGCTGCATGGGCTCAGGAAACATTACAGAGGCCAAAGGAGGGCCCTTGGAGCTCAGGGACGGAAGCACTTGGAGATCGGATCGGAGTGGGTGTGCACCAGGGAGAGCGCGGGCCAGGCCCTGCCTCCTCCCGCCCTTTTAATGGGAAAAACTGAAGGTGGGAGGAGGGATGTTCTCGACACCTACCAGCGGTGAGCAGGACCCCTTGGATGGAGGAGCGTCTCCCCCTAAACCCGAGGGAAGAGAACCACCAGGGCCCCTCCCGGAGTCCTCGGTGGGAGTTTGCAGCGTTGCTTGGCTTGAAAATGCCCAAACCTCCCAAGTCCATGTTACAGGGTCTTCCCAAATGGGGTCTCCCCAGGCAGCTCCAAAGGCCCAGAGCCAGTGCCCGTGAACACAGGGCTTGGCCAGCCCAGCTGTCCGGGAGACTGGTTTCCTCCGGGAGGACTGTCCGCCCTGGAAAGGACAACGAGATCCCTCCTGGCTGGCTCTCCTGCCCCCGCCCCCCCCTCCAAGTGTTTGTTTCTAATCTTGGCCTGGGCAGGAATGTGGCTGCATGCCGGGCCCAAGGAGCTATTTTGGGGGCTCCTCTGCCTCCCCCAGTCTTTGGCCAGTGTCACCCCTGGTCTTGGCTCCTGAGGGCCTCCCTTCCCAATTCTCTCACCACCCCTTCCCCACCTCCTGCCAAAAAAAGTGTAAAGCAGGAGGCCTGAGGGCTAAATTTAAACTGCCCCAAAGTCCGACTCCTGGCTGAGTCACCCACAAAGCTGTCCTGGCCTCCTGCCCCCCTTCCCAGCCCCCCCCCCCCCCCCCAACTCCAGGGCTTGGGCGGAGTGTTCCAGGTCACTGGCCCTTAATTGGCCCCCTCTGGGGAATGGGAGGGCTCATCTTGGGCCCCTCACACCTGTTGCTTTAGCTTTCCTCTGTACTCCGCCTTTAATTGGCGGGCGGGGTGTTGAATGGTTGAGATTCTCTACCCCCCAGTCTCACACTGAAGCATTCTGGGGGGGCCTGGCTTGTGAGGGGTTAAGGCTGGTAGGCGGGAGGGGGCTGGTCAAGGGGTGGGGAGAAGAGGAGGAGGCCTTTGCAGCCTGCAGAGAGAAGTGGCCAGAGGCCCAGGGGACAACCAGGGACAGGCGGACATGCAGCCAGGGCCTTGGGGCCTGAACAGGGGCTGCCAGGCCCCGTGACTTTTTTGAGGTGCGGCTGAGGCGGCTCCAGCAGCTGGTGCTGGACCCCGGCTTCCTGGGGCTGGAGCCCCTGCTCGACCTTCTCCTGGGCGTCCACCAGGAGCTGGGTGCCTCCGACCTGGCCCAGGACAAGTATGTGGCCGACTTCTTGCAGTGGGGTGAGTACCTGCCTGCATGCCCCCTCCCCACTGGGAGGTGGGGGTAGGGCAGAGGCAGGGAATGGGATTGGGCGTTGGAGGCTCTTGGAGGGCAGGGCAGACATGGGGAGAGCTTCCTATTCAGGGGCCCAGAGCTGGGGCCTGGGTCTTGGGGTGACATGCCCCTACCCCTGTGCCACTCTTGCTGGGCAGAGTGGGGTCAGCAGAGGCCAGGGCAACCATGACTCAGGAGCCATGGTAGGCTGGGCTGGGATCAGCCCCCCATGGCCCCCTGCACCCCTACCCCCCAGTCCAGGCCGAGGGACATGCTGGGACTCCTGTCTCTTAGGTGCCCGCACACACCCTATGGCCTCCCCCCTGGTTCCCAGAGCAAGGGGCTCTCACAGAGACAGGATGGGGCAGCTGCCAGGGGCGCGGTCCATGGGCAGGTGTTAGGCGCCAGCCTCTCCAGCTGCCCCAACAGGTGCCCAGGCACTGACAGGCTCAGTGACTCAGGCAGGCCCTAGGGGACAACCAGCTCCAGACAGAAGCCTCCCTGTCCCCCGTCTACCCCCAGAGGAGGAACCGCCCATCCATTTTGGTTCCCTGAGTCTCCAGGGTCATTCTCCTTCATGGCCTCCGTCCTCCGCTTCTCCCACAAAGCCCCTTCCTGCCAAGTCCTCCCCAGAAATAGGTCCAGTCCTCCAGAGGGAAGATGCTTGAACCCCCGCCTCCTGCCTCGCCTGTCCCCACCCTCTTCTGGCCGGGACTCGGGCTCACTGGGGCGTCTGACAGTCTGCCACGCTGTCCCTCCCCGGCCTGTCCCTCCTCGGCCTGCTCTCTGGGTCCTTAGGCTCCTCTGTCCCTGCGTTTCCTCTTCCTGTTTCTCCTGCCCCTTCTTTCCTCGTGTCCATCTCCTCGGAACCCAGGCCCTGCTCCTCTCCTTCTGCCTCCCAATTCGCAGATGGGAGCATGGAGGTCAGGGGTCAGGCCACTCAGCCTTTCAAGAACCTTACCCGCCACCCCACCCCCCCAGCCCCTTAGCAACTCTCGTAGAAGACGTCTTTTTGCAGGGGATGAAGTTTGACCTGCGGGGTAAACTGAGACCTGCGGTGGGGGCAGGGGTCCGGCTCTCCTGGGAGGAGCACTCCTTTTGTGGCCCGAGCAGTGTCCTGCGGGCCCCTCCCCTGCGGGCTTGGGCGGGGGAGGGGGCCTGGGTTGCCACTGCCTTAAAAGGGCTCAATGTCTTGGCTCTCTCCTCCCTCCCCAATCCTGGGCCCTCACTGGTTCTTCCCTGCTGGCCCACTCTCCCCGAACCCCATCTGGACGCCTCTCCCCTCCATAACCACTGTATCTCCCCTCATTCCTACTCACCCCCATCCTCTCTCCACCCTACCCCGAGGTCTCCAGTGGCTTCCACCCCTGGGGGTCTAGGCCTCCCTCTCCCAAGTCCCTGAGTCTCCTGCCCCCCCCCCTCAGTCCCCACTCCCCCCTCTATTCCCAAACTGCCCTGTTAGCATTCCTAGCTGTAGGACCTTGGGCAAAGGAGTTCACCTGTCGGAGCCTTGAGTCCCGGTCTGTAAATAGGGGAGAACAGAGCGCTGCTCCTGGATTGCAAGGACTGAGGACACATTTGAACTGGGCCTGGAGCCCTGGATGCGGGTCCACCATGGCCCTGTCCCCTCTTCAGCTCCTTCTCCTGGCCCCGCCCCCCAAGTCAGCGTTTCCCTAAGTGTGGTCCAAGAGCCTAGAGGGACTGGGCAAAGCTGCATGTTCGGACCCTTTCCCATCACCCCAATTGGGGGTGGGGGCCCAGGGAGCTAGAACTGGGCTGGTCCTCCCTGTTCCGGGGCCTCCTTTCTGCAGACTCGTGTCCCCGGACCCCACCCCTGCTCCCACAGGAGCCCTGACCCCATGCCTGGTCCCAAAAAGGGGTTCCCGGGCCTCCCACTCCTGTGGGAGGGCAGTTTTGCATCCCCCAAACCTCACCCAGTGCTTATGTGGGGAAGCCTTTGGGAGGCCAACAGTCTCAAAGGGCAGGCAAGGAGTGGGGGAGGCTGAGAGTGAGGATCAGCGAGGGGAGACTGAGGAACAGTGTGCGGGACTCCCTCCTCGTCTCCATGTCAGTCCCGGTGACCCCCGGTTCTCACCGCCCTGCCCCCAGTGGAGCCCATCGCGGCGAGGCTTAAGGAGGCCCGGCTGCAGAGGGAGGACTTCGAGATCCTGAAGGTGATCGGACGCGGGGCGTTCAGCGAGGTGAGCCCTGCGCCACAGCCGGAGCCCGGCCTTCCCTGCCTTCGGCAGGCCCCAGGACTGGGGGCGGGGCCTTAGAAATTGATGAATGAGTTTAGGAGCCTAAAACCAGCAGGGGCGGGGCTTAAGACCGATGGGCGTGGCGCGGTGGGCGGGGTCTCGGTGGAGTCCTGCCTGGGCGGTGGGTGTTCCTCCCCGCCGCCACCCCAGCCCCCCGTGTCGGCCTTCAGGTCGCGGTCGTGAAGATGAAGCAGACGGGCCAGGTGTACGCCATGAAGATCATGAACAAGTGGGACATGCTGAAGAGAGGCGAGGTGAGGCCCGTGCCGGCTGTGCTGGGCGCGGAGGAGTCTCCCCGCAACCCCCAGCCCCCCAACCGCTTCAGCGCCTCCCGCTGCCCCGCAGGTGTCGTGCTTCCGCGAAGAGAGGGATGTGCTGGTGAACGGGGACCGGCGCTGGATCACGCAGCTGCACTTCGCCTTCCAGGACGAGAACTACCTGGTGAGTCCGCCCCACGGCTGTCAATCAAGGAGGCGGGCAGGGAGCGGTTTTAGGGTGGGGAGCCCTGTGGTAGGAATAGGCTTCCTTTCCCGGGATGGCGGGCGTTCCCAGGCCGATTCTGGGGGCTCAATAAAGCTGCGCCTGGGGGGACCTTACCCGGAATGGGAGAGCTCTGCGGAGTCTGAGCGGGGGGTCTGGGGTGTGGATCTCTGCCTAGTGACATCTGGCAGAATTGGGGGTTCTGGGTGGGGGAGGGGGTCTCTGATTTGGCCTGGAAGACCTCTGGGGCTCCCTTGGGGGTGCTGCTGCGGGATCTCTGGGAGTCTTTGTCCAGGGCTATCAGCCAGGTCACCCCGGGGCTTACTGACCCCGCGACCCGCCCCCTCCAGTACCTGGTCATGGAGTACTACGTGGGCGGGGACCTGCTGACGCTGCTGAGCAAGTTTGGGGAGCGGATCCCGGCCGAGATGGCGCGCTTCTACCTGGCGGAGATTGTCATGGCCATAGACTCGGTGCACCGGCTGGGCTATGTGCACAGGTGGGCGCCTCAGGGGTAAAAGCTTTATACACAAATTCTGAACTCTAGAAACAGGAATTCTTAATGTTTGAAAGAACTTTGTTCTCAATTCGCCAACAAACGTAGCCAAAATTGAGAACATTCGCAGTATTCTCCTCATGTTACTGCTTTGTACCTCTAATCTCGGAACCAAAGGTGGAGCCCGGGTGGGGGGGCAGCGCCTGGAGAGGGAGGGACCTGGAGACAGAGCCTGAGGGCGAGGCCTGGAGGCTTGGGGGCTGGAGAGTCTAGTGCCTAAGAGAACGGGGCCTGAGCCTGGTGAGAGGGTGGGAGGGAGGCTCACCTGCCCCCTCCGCTCCCACCTCCCCTCTGGGCAGGGACATCAAAC